CAAACCGGCTCTGGACCCCCTCAAAACCGCCTCTTTATGCCTTTTTTTGGTCCGACAATGGCCCATGTACTATGAATGGGGGCCACAGATTTATTCCAGCGGGATATCACAGAAACAATTTCTATCGTGAACTGTGCCTTCAACGCCTAAGGAACTAATCTTTCACGGTCACGGTCTGTCTTATTACAGGCAAATAAAACTCTTCTGAGGGGATACGGTATATGCATAATCGTATATACACAATTGCTCAATATTAATATTTATTATTTATGCGCCTTGCATGAGAACGTACTTTGAGGGAAAGCTGTCACACTCAAGGTTGAGGAATTGAATAAGATTAATTGAAAGACACACTAAGCTTCGATACGGCACAAACATTATCATAAGAAATAGCCATCAACTACATTACAACACAACCAACTTATCCTGAGCTTATCAATGCTATTCGAAGATCTTATTTCTTTATGTAGGAACTTGGAAATTTCTTCAGACCTAAAATTGGAAAAGGAGGTCGACAAGAGAATGTCGAGAACTGCAATGATATTGAGTGCTTTAACGACTCAAGCAACTCTTTTTACCCTAAATTTCCAATCACCTGATTTATCATTATGTTCAGGAGTTCTTAAAGCCTATTGTCACCTTCAAGGGCGGAGATGATGTAGTGGCAAGGAGCGCACTATCTCACACGCACAGTCAGGGGTTCAAATCCCGGATCGGTGCTCGCCTAGGCCAACCAAGCCTTCCACCCCTCCAGGGTCGGTTAATTGGGTTGCAGGCTCGTGTAGGAGGACAAAAGCACTGACTTGTACATCGGCTGGCCACCGCAGATCGTTGTATGGGCCGCATANACACTCATTACGCCACTACGATTCTGAATGGAAGTCGAGTGCGGAGGCGCATCCCTCAGACGGGAATGATTAACACCGAAAACTTTATTCTTTTATCTTTTATTGTCACCTTCATATCGCAATCGTCAGGGAAGCTCGGTACGGATAAGTCCAACTTCAAATGAGCTTTTCAAAGCTCCCGAGGCGGAGAATGGGTTATGGGAATACCATGGACTTAATCATCTAAATTTATCAGAAACACGAAATAATTATTATTAAAGCTGTTATTTATCACAAAATTCATAAGTCCGAGGTAGAAATGAGGAAGACATCATCTGAGATTCATCGTAGATACAAATCGAGCCCTACTTCTCGGAAAATAGCGCTACCTCAAATAAGGCAAATGTAAAGAAATAACAGTCAACGTAATCCTGAACGAAATGGGCAGAGTTCTCGGTGTGCTGGTTTACTTCAATAACCCGACAATAGCGTCTCCTCTCCACTTCTCAATTCCAGTCCATCTTCATTTCTGTATAGCAACGGTGAACTGGAAGAAGCGTGCGTTCTGCTACCCAGTAAAGCATCCGTAACCACTCGGCACAATCCAACATAATCAGTCCCACCTGCGACAAACTTCACCTGTAATGGTCGGCATGATTTGGATGCTATGGAAAGATTATGGAGTTTGGGGCTTCCCTACTAAGATAATAAACTTTTTGGCATAAAACAACACCGCTTTGAGAAGTGCCACGCTTTCGTCTTTCATTTAATATCATAGAAATCTTCAAAGTGGTTTGTGGTTTTCAAAATAAATGTCTGAAAGAGCGGTGTGTTCCTACGCCAAGAGGAGGTGACAGCGGGTGAAAAAATTTTTTTATTGACTGGAAGTGGCCTGGGTAATGGTCTTTTCAGTTTTACTCAAAAGTTTTGAGCCACATACCTGGCCTTTCTTTGATGCAATCATTGGAGACATTTGTGTCCGTGGACACTTAGCTGCTTGTGGTGCATTACGAGACTCCAGTGATCCAGGACGACTGCCATAAGTGAACATTCCCATGGCGTTATTCATGAAGAAACCGAGGTTTGTGAATTGCCGTGATCCGAATCTGCGAAAATGTCAGTTTCCGCAACAGCGGTCCACATCGCAATGGAAATTTGGCAATTTGTGATGGTACGTCGAAAATTGTGTATACTATTAAATACTCTCAGTTATCCGGCTTGAGCGGAATTAGCTGGGGTTGGAGAGTTTGGCCTTTGGGCTGTGTCGGCCTACTTTGACAACTATTTGAGATCTCAGTTTATATAAGTACGAGCTTACTTATCTCCCAGGGACGAACCAAACGATGCGGCATCTCCTTTCTCGTCAACGACCAGAACAGAAAACGATCCCTCCTCTGCTGATTCCCACTGAAACTCTCATACGTAAAATGCAGTTCAGTAGCGTAGTCCATGGGAAAACGAAAATGCTAGCGTAAAAGACAAAAAAAAATGACCGAAGGAAATCTAAACGCAAATCTCTAATTCTAAGGGGTGATTAATGAATAGCTATCCAACCTTGGACGCTGGATTGTGCCCATCTTTCAGAAGTTGTAGCAGATTTTTCGCTGCTCTTCCAGTCGTCATTTTTGCTACATCTTTTGTGATATCACTGTCGAAAATGGCATCCGCAACGAGTTTCGATTGATCCCATGATAGCAGAGGTATGTTGACCGATGTCGAATTCGATCCTGGCCAAACTCAGTTCATGTGCTTTGAACAAAAAACTCAGAGGAAGGCTCCAACTCTTATCGTGTTGTCACTAATTTCTACGAAAGAGATTCTGCAAAACATCAGCCTGCTGAAGTTGATAAGGTTCAGCATTTTCGGCTTAAAAAACTACTAGAAAGCAATTACGGCTTAAAGCTCCAAGCTGGACCCGAACACACTTCCCGACAGTTCCACCTTCCTAAATTACACCCTGCTTGGGAGGGAGTCTCATTGTGAGTGCATTCCTACAAGTTTGTTACATGGTAGTAGATTGGGAAGACCAAGCTTCAGAACAGTCAGCTTCAGAAGTAAGACTGGTTGAACCTTGATGGATAGTAATGGTAGCACCTGTTAACCAGAAGGAGTCGTAGGACATAGTCGGAACTTCGGCAAAAGGGTAAGGTATTCGATATGGTACTAACGAATGCAATATGAGCTGGTTACCCACCTTCTGCACCTTTTTGCCCTTCATCCCATTTTTGGAATTATTTCAAGTCAATCGTAGAGCCAATCACTCATTCGACTAGATCTTGGTGCAAAAACGATTCAGGTCAAATGCCGATCAATCTGATTTGATCGGTTCCTTTCTTCGAGATGTTTCTCTGCCCTGTGCCTATATAACCTGCTGTCCTCTTCATTCCTTTCTATTCTTGGCCTTGTTGGTCATCGTATTTTCTTCCGCAGAACTGTTATTTCACTCCAAAAAAAACTTCTCTTGCTCATTGCTGCTCCATTTTGTTACTGAAGGCAGTCTACCAGCTGATATATGGAACATAACCACTCATTTGTTTTGATTTCCTTCAAACTGGCTCAAAAGGGAGCACTTCGTTATACTGTCACCCCTACGCTTTTTTTTCACAAATTGCTTTCTGTAACCCCCAGCTTTCAATTTTTTCGCCAAGCCCTTCACCTCCTAGTCCTACGACCCCCTTAACTTGTTTTCATCGTAGCTTGAATGGGCTTACTTTGCATTGCATTTACTGCCAGTTGTACAACAGCAAACAACGACGGTGGATGAGGTCCACAGAGTGTCGTATCCTCTGCGTGAGATTGCAGTCCATACTGGTGTTCAGTTTCAAAGTCGTCAAGATCTTGTGCAGTCAGAAAGGCGTCTGCAATTACAGCTAACATTTTTTAATTTATCCCACATCATATGAGGTTGGGTTCACAACTTTTTCATTGGAACACACTTCTGGGCGATAGTCCCTTACCTTCGTCTTTGATTGCCTTCAGAATCCTTCTCGAGCCTTCACCTCGGTAGAAGTAATCGACAGGATATTCCGAGTCGGAAAGATCCGAAAGGAAGTTGGCGAGTTGTGGGCAGAGCATTTTGTCGCCCTTGGCTAGGACTCTTCTCGTTGTTTCGTTAATGAACTGGGATCTGAAAATATGTCGAATTAAAATATTTTTATTTGAGACGGACCAAACTGGACGGTCTTATCTATTTATTTATTTCTATTTATGTAC